AAATCATCGGGACAAGCCAACGCGTGGACAACGCGCAGAGAGTTATCGCGCCGCGGGCACTGCGGGCAGCCGCAGACTGCTGCAGAGCGCCCGCACAGAAAAATAAAGCCTAACCCCCGTTTTTCACGAGGACAAGAGACGCCGTACATGGAACAACGAGACAGCCCGCACGACAGCAAAAAAGAGGGGGCGCGGGGGGCACCCGAACCTGCTGTTCGACCGCAGCAACTGTACCGCTGGCCTACACGAACGACTGCTTCCAGACCTAACTCTTTCCCCTACGTCTTACCCTACCACCTACCCACCCACACCTTGATAGTGATTGCACCGCTGCACGTTTCAGGGAAAACTGAGAGGATGAAAATGGCAGCACAAATCGAAGCCTTTGAAACTTTAAGCGTTTAGGAATGGAGGACATCTTCAGCTGAACCTTCCCAATTTCGGGCGCCAGCCGACCATTTTGCCATTACCTCTGTCACCGCCTGTGCAGCTGAAACATACAGAACACAGGAAGGCCTACGTATAGATCGCATTCTAGATCTGTAGGCATTTGGCTGTGGCGTGTGAAGACGGGAAAATGGGGTGTCGTCAAAAAGGTAAGGGAAACATCGAGCCAGATTTCTTTTGAATGAGGAAGTAAAACATCGAGCCAGTTTTCATCCCGAGCACATGACAATACAGTGGTCCCGGTTTAGCGGTTCCCTGTTTAGCGGGATGCCCTGAATAGCGGTCCCAAAATCTCGTGGCACAGCTGCACCTCGGTAGTCAAACTACCATACAACTGCCTATCTTGGTTTGGCGGCGATGCCCTCAATAGCGGATAGAAAAATTTTGACACTATGGACCGCTAAACCGGGACCATGACTGTACCAGGCTTGTTCACTGAGCGTTTGTTCTCCACGGAGCTGAGCGGTTTTCCGTGAGATTTTCCCTTGAGGACAGAGAGACCGTTTCGCTCCGTGGGGATTCCCAAAAATCCGTCGGAGCGTTTTTTTCACGGAGCGGTTTGGGCTCCGTCACACAACCGCGGATAAAACCGCGATACAGTCACGGTTTTCCCACGGAGCCACGGTTTTACCCCACGGGGTCACGGTGTTTTGTGTTGGGAAGGCTAAAGCTGCATATGTCCAAGCTGCTCATGCGGGAGAGCAAGTGGTTGTCGAGGTCGAATGAGTCTGACTGAGTGAAATAGGAGCGTATTTGGTTGAATACATGAGGCGACTGGAAAGTGCTCTGGAAAATTTGAACGAGAGGAAAATAAGGAATTAGTTGCTTTTGGAGGAGGTATCGATGTGGGGAACGGTTCCTTTCTGACTAATTGATTAATTGACAGCTTTTTTGTCTGTTTTGGGCTGTACTGGCGGCGAGGACGCGTACGGCGTCACCGGCGGCCTCCAAGCACCGCACACCGTGCGGAAAAATCGTTTTTCGGTGTACCAAACCCAACGTTTTGCACGAAGTTGCAGGTACTCCGTCGATTTGTACGGATATCCGTGCGGTTTCGCGCGGTTCATGCTACACAGTAGTAAACAAAACCGCTTCGCGAAAAAACCGTCTACGGATAAACCGCTCCGCTCCGTGAGACTGTTGCCCTCGGATGAGCCGCTCCGCACCGCTCCGTGATATTTTCAATAAAATAAAATCTCCGGTTCTACTCCGTAGAAATTCAAAACAAAAAAACACTCCGCGGAGCGGTTCTACTCCGTGAACAATCCTGGAAAACACCCAGGTGTGAGCTCAAAGATGTTGGATTCCCACCAGCGGGTGGTCGCCCCGATGATGGCTCAAGTCTTACTAGATACAACCTATTATCGAATGAATCTAACCCCCAAGCGTGTATAGAGCAAACCAAGAATTAGGACGGTTGCGCTGGCAGAAAAATCCACGGCATCCCTCCTCGTACCTTGTAGCTACCCGAACAGTTTCTCGTACCTTTTAGCTACACCCAACAGAATATTTCGAAGCCTTGTGGTGTCAAATTTGGATTCCAACTAGGGCAGCTGCAGAAGCTGACAAATGGCTGCTCTTTCCCGAAAAATGACAACTCTTTCCTGGAGGAAAAGCGTGGTATACAATAGGGGCGCCGGATCTGTTATTGAGTCTGCTGAAATGCGCGTGGCTGCGGCCTGCCAGCGCATCGGAAGCACAACAACGCCAACAACAAACCAAAAAATAGACTCAAAACATACCCGCGGCGATGCCGGTGATGACCATGATCGGACCGAACACCAGCAAGGGGGCAACCGGACCCCAGCCGTCGTACAACACCTCCGCCAGCACGGGTGCCAGCAAGCCTGAAACAACAAGAGGAAGAAGAGAGCGCCAAGGTTCAGAAGGCGACCTTCGGTGGAACCACAGAAAGCCCATAAACTGCAGTGTTTGTTGTGTGAGCGCAGGAAAACGAGACAGCTGGTGTAGGATACAGCATAATGCACGACGTGCGTTCCACGGGCGAAAAACAACGAAGGACGTTTTACCAGGGCATAAACAAACCCGTAAATATGCGGAGAGGGGGTGGAGGAGTTTGATAGGGACGCCCGTAGCGTCGCTGTTGCTCAACGGCGGTCTAGGGTTGTTGGCTCGAAGTGCTGTTGCTGTGGCACCGAGCTTTGCATCTGTGCGTCGGAGTAAGACCCTCCATACCGTACAGCCCACGTGTCGGGAAGCAGAAAAATGAGTGGTGTAACGACGAACATGCAACTCCGGTAGGGTAGTCCGACCAGAATCAGCGAACGCATGATGATCGTTATAAACATAGTTTTTTTAGAATACATGGCAGCAGCAAAAGGGACAACCCATTCCTTCAGCACCAAACCCCGGCTCTCAACTCGTAACAGCAGCAGCAGCAGCAGCCGAGCAGGCAACAGCCAAGATACACTTCACACACAGGAAGCAGCCATACCCTGAGCATGTCTGCCGTTTCAAACTACCCAACAACAGCGACGCAACACATGATCGCGGCGGACCCTCACTGTGCAACTAGACTATTTTTCATACCAGGTAGCAAACGAAGCAGTGAATCTACCGCACAACAGCCCGCACCTCCGAGGCGCGTAACAACGCTCGTGCTTCCCAACCCCACTGTCCGGTACTTTGTCGAGTAAATCTCCGGCGTCAGCACGTACTTCACGGTCCCAGGGATGGCTGGTAGAACACGTTGGCAAAGCAGGCGGAGGTGGAAAAGGGGAGTACTTTCTAACTCGTTGCCTGTCCGAGATCATTTGAACATGGTCCACGCATCCTCCGCGAGATGGCCTGTGCTCCTAGTCCACCGTTCCTATTCTTCGTAGACAAATGTCCTACCAACACCTTGCGTTCGAAGGGAGGGCTCCTCGAGTGGGCTTCGGTGTGTGAGTACACGCTTGGGTAGGGAAGAGGGAACGGAACGGGATCTTCACCCATCGAAGGCGTTCTGCACCATACGACCATCGAAAGAAAAGCTCTGTTCCGCGTTCCGCATAGGGTTCTCCCAGCTACATCTGGACGAACGGCCTGAGGGATACCTTGCGAATGCAAAGCACCAATGACTTCCACTGCTGTAGAGCGCCGAATTCTATTTGGCACGGCGAACGAGGGCGTTTGGCGCCACAAACCACCTGGTCGGGGAAAGAAGGCTGTTGTCCCTTCTGTGGACAGACAATTCAATAAAGCATCGAACGGTAGTCTGCCACTACAACATTACGACACCGACATGGAAGGGTGGTTGCACAGAAAAGGCGCCAAAATAGCCACCTACGACGCGCGGTCAATTTATCGCTTATTTGTCGAGACAACGCTTTGCTTCTGTTTATCACAATCTGGACAGCGGTACCACCTGCTGCCGCCGTCGGGCCTCTCTCTTGTCTCTCTTGTAGTACGAACTATCGCAAAAAACAAGCACATGCACACACACCACCGCACTCACTGGTAATGAACAGGGTCAAGATCGACGCCACAGCGAAGACGGCCTTTACTCGCAGGGTCGTGGCTAGCAGTATGACGGCGGCGGCCGTGGCATAGGACGACCACTTGAGAGCACCCACGCGACCGAGACGACGCTCCGAGCACAGCCACATGGCCGCGAACGCGCCTGGTATGGGGGTCAGGAGTAGGGGGGCGGGGGGGGGGGGGGGGGGGAGGGTTTATGCACAACAAAACAAAAAAACTACTTATTGAAATGGACAAAGGTTGACTAAAACTTAAAGGCAGGCCTGCCCCAACCCGGGGGCCGGGGGGTTTTGTTAAAAAGGGTTGGGGTGCCAACCAAACACGGGGGGCCAGGAAAGGTTTTGGGGGGACCCCCCGGGTTTTGACTGT